TGTATATTTTCTGCTTGCTTTCTTCTTTCAATTGCATTTCTCGTGCCAAGTCCTCGAAGGCGTGCATTTCCAAGGTGCTAGATTTTAATATGTCAGCTGGGATGTCACCGGTCTTACTGCTCACAGTCACCACCTTGTACGCCACGATCTTTTTCGAGTCACCATCAACTACCTCAGTGGGTATTTTGTCTACAATAACCCAATCCTCTGTGGCCTATATTTGAAATATAAAAGCTAAATTAGAAATTCTGATGGTACCTCATTCCTCAAATAAGAATACGTTAAGAAAACGAGGACGACAGCTACATTCAGGGCTGCGATGCAACTGTCCGGGGCTGGTCTTACCATTTATGAATCATGGCTGGCTGTAATCTCCAATCTGAAATTTACAGACCACAATCTTCAGCTCAGACTACATTCTGCGCGGAGCTGCAATGTCAGATTTCTTAAAATCTGAACACGCTCCGGTGGTACATGTTTTATCTTACGGTAAGTGATCATTTTATACTTTGAGATTAAACAGCATTATTGACATGGTTGTACAAGTTATTTATTAGCTTTACTTCGGTGGATACAAAAAGATAGTCTTCCATTTTAAGCATAATACTACATGTCTTTGGTTCTCACTTTGCCGACATCCCACAAATTTCTGTAAAAACCATTTTCTATGTTGGGAAATTATACTTTGTTACACAGGGGAGTAAATCCACCACAATATTCATTATCCCATAAATCCTGAGTGAGTCTGTGCTCTATGTACTGTAATGAAATATTTCCCTCCAAAGGGCACTGTTGAAGCCTCTTATAAATAGGGCCATGGTGATCTGGACAGTGTGCTAGTGTTATTTACAACTGAAGCTCATCATGTTCATATTCTTTATGCCACTTTCTCTCATGTTAGGTCCAACACGGCAGAAGAAATTAAAGTTAAGAAATCTTTGTATTTGAGAGGCCTAACAGCATGCAACCAGGCAGCTGAACAGCTTAACAGGTTATAAACCCATTCTCACCGCCATCGAGTCGATTCCGACTCACAGTGATCCTACAGGACAGAGTAGAACTGCCCCACAGAGTTTCCAAGGAGCGGCTGGTGGATTCGAACTGCCGAACCTTTTGGTTAGCAACAGAGCTCTTAACCACTGCACCATGAGGGTTTCCTAACAGGTTATAGAGGACCAATAAATGAAACCAGAAGCAGCTAAGTGCCTTGGTTTACATTTTAAACTATGATGTTTCTATGTTCATATTTATCATAGCCTAAAAAACTTGAATCTAGAAATATGTCTACCTTAGGAAAAAGGATTACAGATTTATCTACGTGCTGGTGCGGGACTAAATGAAATAAATCGAAAAATAACCTCTAGGCTTGATGGGACAGTTTTCTGGAAAATTATTTGGCAAGAAGTAACCACACTGCCAGCAGAGTCTCCTTCCTGAATTTTCTTTATCACACTTGGCTAGTGGAAAAACCAATAAAAATTCAGAAATTTCAAAATCAATCAAGATCATCTAAATTAGCATCACTCTCTCGGCAACACAGACAGTAAAAAGTTCCAATAAGATTATTAATAGAAAGTAGAATCATAATGCTTCAATGACAGACATACAGATACAATCAGCTCAGAGTATAAACCATAAAGAAATTATGGAAAACTGATTAACTAAAAGAAAATTAAGAAAACCTCCCCAGAGTCTAAGCAAACATTACATATGTACCTTGGTTTTAAACAGGGTAAATTTAAGAAGGAAAACAAGGACTAAAGACATTTTAATGACACGAAGCCCGGAGAGCAATTCCTTTTGGGATACGCCCTTATGTTTGTTTTTTACCTGAGACTCAAGGAATGGAGAGCTTCCTTGCTGTAAAAATATAACTTTTTCAGAAATCTCCCTTTCTTCTTTGGTCTGTTTGAATAAAGGGGGTTGGGTAGAAGAGGAAGTAGACAGTTTCCAAAAAGGAAAGTTAGGAGGAGAGTTTTTACTGTGTTCTCTCTATATATATCTACACATATATATGTATATTAGTCATAACAGTCATTTCCTTCTGAAGAAGTACATTACTGCTTATTCATTTGAAAAATGGTATGAAACTATCTCAATATTGAATCGTTATTTCCAAAGAGTAACATTATTTTCTGAAATGGTGTTTATATGACTTAAATATTTGTCTTTTCTGCAAACA